GATTGTCTGTCCCAGAAAATGGAGCCCCGCTTCATCTTAATTTCTATGTAGATGTCACCGGCATAACCGACAAGAAACAGAAAAATAACTTTATGGGATCAATCGATTGGCTGTTCAAGATTAACTTTGGAGGCGCCACATACACTCTGATCTCCCGAGGCTACTGGCAACATAATCACTACTGGTGTAAGGTCCTTCAAAGTGCTAACATCTCAGCTGACAAGGGTAGTTTGACCGCAATTTGGTTACACAACGACGCCGAGAATGATGGTCATGCTCAACAGATCAATCGGGTTCCCAGTTCGATTGCCGGAGTGCAAGAAAACACAAGCTGGCTCCTTTATTCGCGCAATTGGACACCTTTGGAGGAAGAATATGTCAACAACGCAATTCAGAAAATTGTAGCCGAAAATCCAGAAGCTGCTGGCGATGTCCCTTTCAAGGAGATGAAGTCAATTTTGACCACATAACACAGCTTGACGTTAATTCCCCACACCACCACAAACGAAGTTAAATCTACTCCTCCAACTACTGTCACATCCCAGGCCAGAGAAAAATCGCCTTCAACAACTACGGGTAATGCTCCAAAAAATTACACTTCACCAGTCAAAGGAACAACTCCGATTGCACAACTCGCCTCTCAAATGAATGCACAGATTGCTCGAAAGTATGCACTAGACCAAAAAGAACCAGACACCAAACAACAGTGTTCCTTGGATGCAGAAGTCACACTGGAAATAGACAAATCATTCCTCTCGGTTGGCGACAAATCTCATGGTGATCAATCTTTTGTGCTTGGCAATCAATCTCGTGGCAAATCTCGTGATCAATCTTTTGTGCTTGGCGATCAATCTCTTGTCAAATCTCATGGTGATCAATCTTTTGCGCTTGGCAATCAATCTATTGAATCCCATGGTGATCAATCTTGTGGCAAAGATGGCAACAAAGACGGCGGTGATCAAACCTTTTCTCTTGGTGATCATACTGGCGAAGACGGTGGTGATCAATCTTTTGCTCTTGGTGAACAGTCTCTTGGCAATCAAACTGGTAATCAGTCTCTAGCGGATGAAACAGATGATCATGTTACTCAAATTCAGGTGAAACACAGTCAAGAGGATGAAGAAGTCCCTCAGAAACCTCCAATACGGTTCAAGGTCATACTGAGACCACCTGAGCAACGATCACCTCCAAGTACCAAAGGAAAAACCCAGGCTTCAAGACAATCAGTGAGAAAGAAAAAATGAGATTGAAAGATTGTTCTCCTGGACTGACTTCACTTTTCCATTTATTCTGTTTGAGGCTCTGCGTTTTTTATTTTTGATCTGCTTTTTTCATTTTTTTCTTCTTTTGTTCATTCCTTTTTGTTTGATTTGAGGCTGTGTCTTTATCTTTTTTACCCCTTTTATCTTTTGTTGAGGATGTATTTCTCTTTTTTCTTTTGATTGCCTTTTATTGTTTTTTTGAGGCTGAGTCCTTGATACTTTTTTTTTTTTATTTCTGTGTTGATTTTTGTCTCCCTCTTTTTTTTTTTTTTTTTTTTTGGAGGGTTGCAAAATATGGTTTGTAAAATTCAATTTTACATACCTTGTTGTGCAATTTTACAAACCATAATTTACAACACATAGATGGGTTGCAAACTAATGGTTGCAAAATTCCTTGAAATGAGGCAAAAATGTACTTTTGCAAACCATATTGTTTGCAAGACATAAGGGTTGCAACATATGTGCCTTAAAATTCTACTTCATGGGGCATGGGTTGCAATTTTAAGGCACATATGTTGCAACCCTTTTTTTTTGCAACCCATATTTTTGGGTGATGGTTTGTAAAATTATACATTACCCCCATAAAAAGGTAATTTTACAAACCATCTGATTTACAAGACATATGTCTTGTAAAATATAGTTTGTAAAATTACAGCGACCCATTATTTATTTTTGAAGAAAAAAAAACAATGAATGGGGCCGTCCCATAGGACCCATGCCTGGGTCCTATGGGACAGCCCTGGTCCTAAACGCATATAAATATGCGTTTAGGACCACATATGCATATATTTGGCGTGCAGGCCTGCACGCCAACTGCAGGCCAATCTCCCCTGCAGCAGATTGGCGTGCAGGCCTGCATGCCAATCTGCTTTGGCGTGTGGGCCTGCACGCCAATCTGCTGCTGGCGTGCAGATTGGCGTGCGCGAGGGGGGTTGGCTTGCGCTTATCAACCCCCCCCCTATGGGCCCAAACTACAAGGCAACCACAATTTCTGACATTTCAGACCTAGTAGAGTTCATTAATAAAAGGGCTAACGATTCTGCCCAGTGATTTTTTTTGTCTTCCCAATCCGGACATGTCCTTCGGAGGCCTACAGGGCCTACAGCAAGTCCATAGTTATGTACTTAGAGCAGTATATGGGTTATGAGATCACCATAAACCCATACGATTCAGATCAGTAACTGCACTCCGACAAGAGGATAAGTAATCAAATAAGAATGAGATACATAACAGAAAACTATGTAGTCGCAATCAAGAGGAGGACAAGCAAGTCAAGCTAAGTAGAGCATAATCGATCAAGAGGAGACAGACAGCGTAATCGATCAAGAGGAGAGAGCATATCAATCAAGAGAGAGCATATCAATCAAGAGAGAGCATAAGCGATCAAGAGAGAGCATAAGCAATTGAGAGGACATGTGAGTTAAGTCAAGTAGAAGACAAGCAATTGAGAGGCGGACAAGCGAGTGAATAATGAAGAGATACAACGGCAAGCAACTGTTATGTAGACAAGAAAACAAGTATTAAGTGAAATGAAATGAGGAATCATCCAGTTAATGTATCGATGTGCATTGCCGCATTACGGGGAATGCATCAATGAGAACGGTATTTCTTCATTAAGACCTGTGATTGCTGGCCGTTAAATCCTTGCTGGTATGCTGAGATCTGCCGATCGATCCGACAAAAGTACTTTCAGATGGTGACAAGTGGACAGCTTTGTCTGACTCTGTCAAACAGATCCTTGGAAGCGGGAAAGGTTTTGCATGTATGTGATTGTTTTCGGTATGCTAAAATCAAGGGGCTTGGTTAAACGACTCCCAAAAAGTGGAGAGCCGACTCCCAAGCCCCGGATTCCCCGAAAAAAGGGAGTCGAACTCCCAAAACCTTCGATTGGTTTGGGAGTCGACTCCCTAGAAAAAATAATAATAAAAAATCAAAATCCCCGGTTGGTTTGGGAGTTGGCCTCCCAAACCGACCAGGGTTTGGGGGTCGATGTCCCAAAATACCCAGGGCAGCGGCCGGGAGGAATCCACCCGGCCACTGATCAGGTACACTCAACGGCCGGGAGCTGACCCCTGGGCCGTGAGAGTGCACACACCTCAGCAGCCGAGACGATTCCTCTCGGCCGTTGAGGCTATACACTCTCAACGGCCGAGACAATTCCTCTCGGCTGTTGAGGGTACACACTCTCAACGGCCGATGGAAACCGTCTCGGCCGTTTGAGGTGTACACACCTCAATGGCCGAGGGTACACTCGACGGTCCGTTGAGGTGTACACTCAGAGAAACTTGGCTGCTGAGTGCACACCTCAACGGCCGAGAGCTGCGTCCCAGCCGCGAATAGTGTACACCTCGACGGCCGAGGTGGTTTCCCTCGGCGGGAGAGAGCGGATACCCTCAACGGCTGAGAGCAATTGTCTCGGCCGCTGAGTTGTGCACATCTCAACAGCCGAGACGGTTTCCATCGGCCGTTGAGAGTGTGTACCCTCAACGCCGAGGGGAACCGTCTCGGTTGCTGAGGTGTGTACACCTCAACGGCCGAGAGAGAGTGTATATGTACCCTTGATGGCCGAGAGGATTCCTCTCGGCCATTGAGGTGTACACTCTCATGGCCGAGGGGTCAACTCCCAGCCGTTGAGAGTGTACCTCAGCCGCCGGGAGGAATTTTCCTGGTGTAAGACTCAAAAGTGGTTATGAAACCCTTTTGCTGAATGGAGAAGGGGATGATGGAGTTGCAAGCTCTGCCCTTCTATGCTATCAGAACAACAAGACCACCAAGCTTAGCTTGGCAGTTATATTTATCGTGATAGAGGATAGTTCAAGATGAAGCTTCCAATTGATGTGTATAAGGGTCTGAAGTTATAAATGAGTGATGATTATATTGATGAAGCTGTTGTTCAAAGCTTTAAAACCAAGGTGTGGAGCTCTGGGAGCGCTATGCTTCAACCAGTAATGGTATGTGAGGCAGGTTATGGGCACTTGGCACTTGTTATGATGATGAAAGTGTTATGTGTGTATTTCAATATAATGTATTGTTATGGCTGTCACTTGTATATAATCTGTAATGTGGGTTGAGTTGATCTGGTCCTCTGGTGGGATGATGGACCCCTGGTGGGATGATGGAGGGAGCAACTGGCAGGCAGAGGCCTCCTTATATAGACAAATGTGAGGGATTTTAGCCCCAGGGCACAGGCTTTTGAGGCATTTTAGCTGGCCTGAAGATCCAATGAGGGACTTTAGCTAGTCTAGTACATGCAGGTGAGGGATTTTGGCTGGTGAGAGCACTGCCTTGAGGGAATTTGGCTAGCCTACAAGGTCCTACTACAAAGGAATGCATGTGCACCTACAAAGGAATTCAATATGTGCTATATGCCAAAAAAGGAATTCAATACAACACAAAGGAATTCAATATTCAATATGCATGCAGTATTCAAAACAAGCCACACTGAGAGTAAAGAATCCAAAAGACATCCTGTGACAGGTTGAAATCTGTGTAACTTCTAAACCATGAGAGATATGGGGTCAGTTGTAGTGGGTGACTAGGGGTAATTTTACCTGAGAAATCCATTTCTGATGTTATTTTTACCATATATATAATATATAAAGAGATAATAATAAATTTTTATATTTTTCTGCGTAGAAACACAGTATTATTTACCACACCGGCCGCTGCCCTGGGTATTCGACCGGGGATTTTTATTTTTTATTATTATTTTTCTTAGGGAGTCGACTCCCAAACCAATCAAAGGTTTTGGGGGTTCGACTCCCAAAATTTGGGGATTGCGGGGGTTGGGAGTCGGCTCTCCATTTTTTGGGAGTCGTTTAACTAACCCCCAAAATCAAACAAAGAAATATTTCAAAATCAGCACAAGAATCCAACTCAGAGAAGAGCTTGATTGTTCTAAAAACTTACATTCCTTAATGTAGGACCAGAAAAGCTCGATTGGATTTAATTCACAGTGAAATTTGGGTAAGAAGAGACACACATGACCAGCATCTTCAATGATTGCTTGTAGTAACGGTCGTTCGTTTGTAAAATCCGATTGACAAGAAAGTATCATTGACCAACAGCAAGTCTTCGTGTTTGATTGTGTTGGAATTTGATTGATAATTTCATTGTGAGAGTCATCGGGGACATCGATTTCAGACAAGCTTTGTTTGTGAGGCAAGAAATAACCGCTTTCTTCGGCTTGACGGACTAATCTTGCTGATCGTTCAATCACATCCTTTTGTATGTTGGAGGCTGCACAAATGGAGCATCGAAGATTCAAAGAAGGTTTTTTTTCCTGTTTCGCTTTGGCACTGTAGTGTTGCCAAAGCCCTCTTTCCTCAAAGATGGCTTGGACTCCCTTTGCCTTGCCTGCTAGTTTTGGATTTGGATGCGAAGCGTTGTAGAAAAACGTTTGGGGCAGGCCACGTAGATGTGTTGGAATGCAGGGGTCATCGGTGGGGATGACTGAATCACGGAGAAGAGATTGTTTCCCACCTGGACTAAGGTTCATGTTCTGTACCCTCAGAGCCGTTTTTGCATAAGCGTCGTGAGCTGAGGAACAATCAAAAACAAAGACTGCTTGAGAATGTGGGTGAAGGAGCTCAAAGATTGGGATGGCCTTTTGCAAAACTTGATGACAGAGTTGTTCCATATCCCACCAGTTGTCGCCGTTGGATCCTGGATAAATTATGGTAGCTGCATCAGCTGACTCAGGCTTGGTACTAGCATCGTGTTGAGATTTGTTGAACTCTTCATCGGAAAGCTTTAATTGACCAGTTGTCTCCAAAATGAAGTTGGAGATATGTATCAATCGTCCAGTATTTTTCGATCGGATCTTGCTAGTTCCAGGAAGAAGCCAGGTTGATTTAGGTCGCTCCTTGGCATGGGTTGTTGACTCATCATGGTACACAAAAACAGTCTCTTTCATGTCATTCAGATGTTCTGGATCAACATTTGAAGATAGCTGGAATGTTTCTAAGTCGTACATACGAGATCGCTTCCGATACATAGTGTAGTTCTTGATGTATTCAGATCTAGCTTGAACAACATCAGGTCGCTCATGGCCGTCAAAATATAGTGCCTTCTTGTGTTCTTGAGGACGATATCCCAGCTTATACATCCATCGAGTGGCAGCATTGCGGCTGAGTGTTGCATCCAGTCCAAAATTTGGGAGGAGCTCATTGACAACATGTGATCGGAAGGTTAATGGAGTGACCTGTTGAAAGAAGATTCGTTACATTAAGTTTTTGAACATTACAAACAGACTGTGATTTGAAAAGAAAAACTCTGATGTACTTACCACACCAGGCAACTGTGAAGCAGCCCATTTGAAGAGGGCTTCCTTGAGTTGAGGATTGTTAAGCATCGATCGGTGATTTTTCCGATTTCCACCTTTGTTGGTAGGGATTTCGCGGTAGGTGATTACATGCTGAGCTTGCTTGCAAATGAGCTTTGCGAGGTAGTTGCCACACTTGGGCTTTTGGGGGCCGACCATTTTCGAATGTCGACGCAAGGATGACCGAGCGGTGGCAAGGGATGCAGCTGAAGTGGGTAGTGGGGTTCCATCCATGATGTATTGATATCGGAGGGTATTGAATTCTTTCAAGTTGTCAATAGTCGATTGAGGTATCTTGACCTTCTTGTCTTTCTTGGCCTTTTCATAGAGAATCGCTGTTGCAGAAGAGATGGCTGTGTTGAGCTCATCCCATTGAGCTTGAGCTCTTTTTGATCTTGCCTCGGTCCTCTGGGCATCACTTGTGGATTTGGAAGCTTTTGGGGCTGCAAGATAACGGGCCTGCTCGTCATTCAGTTGTTTTCTAGTTTCGTCTTTGCCAATGGACTTTTCTAGGTTTGTGTCCTCAAGTGTTGCCTCATTGAGATTTGGATCGATTGCTGCATCGGATTCTTCCTGAGTGGTACTAGTAGGCTGTTTCATGAGGAAATTTTGCATGATATTATTGTTGGGTCCGAGTGCTTTGAGTTGTTTGTTCTTCCTGTCGTGCTTGGTCTGTCTTGGAAGAGCTCGTGGGACTAGCTTTTGAGACAAAGGATTTGAGCTTGCAACCGGTTGTTGATAACCAGATTTTCCAGATTTCAAGACTCGTTTCCGGGGTTGAGTTTCGGCATAGGATACTGGTCCATAGAACACCAACCACATTTCTTGCAACAGATCGTCTTCATCTTCAGGGGCCTCTTCATCAGAAGTGTCATCTTGAATGGCAGCCTCCATGTACAAAACCAGATTGTTTGCTTGGTTTCGTTCATCCATCTTCTTTTCGTATAGGTCAAATGTGTTGTCTTCAAAACCGCTAATTTCAGTTGGGAGTTCTGAATGGGAATTAGTGGAATGATGGTTACTTTTTGATGCGACAGGATTGAGACTATCAGCTAGGTTGATCTCGCTTTCATCAAAGCAAATAGCAGAGGTTGGGTCTATTTGATTAACAGCATGATCACACCGAGAAGCGTCCAATTCAGTATCGTCATCCTCCGAATCCAAGCAAATGATTTGTTTGTCTTGGCGATAAGGGTTCAAGCATTCGATCTCGCTGTCATCGCCGTCAGATGTAACCAAGACTGTCTTTGATTTCAGGGCTTTCTTGGGTTTACTAGACTCGAGTTGTTTTGGTGTCTTTGTCTTTGCTTTTGATTTCTTTGACCTTGATTTAGCCGTCTTTGCAGCTTGTGTGTTTGTCAGGTTCTTATTGTTCAGCTCCCTCCGGCGCCTTCGTCGTTGGCCCTTGCAACCATTGCTGACGGCCATTACAAACCTGTGGCTTTGAAAGATACAAGAGAGTCAGTTTGGGTTTGTTGATAGGTCTTTCAGGGATTTGTGTTGAACCAACAGATAGAAAGTCTTCCTTGAAGCGGTTTTTCTTGCCTAACCCTGGCCTTAAAGTTGAGAGAAAATTTCAAATGAACTGTTGAAACACGGCTGCGGTGGGACCAAGTGCCAGCCCGTGACAGACCATTTTTCTTATCTCCTCACACTGCAACTTAATACCAAACACACCAAAGCACAACTCAAGGCCTAATTTTATGGTTATTGGTTTTCATCATCTCTTATAGAAAGAAAAAAAAGACCCAGGGTAACTATCAAAAACCAGCAATTGAAACTTAAGAAAATTTCATAAATATATTATGGGATGTGTTGTAGGCAGTCCTCCCATGATCTCATTAAGAATGATCCAGTGTTCACATCGCTTGATCACTTTTTCTGTCAGATAAAACATACTGGATCAGTATGTTGTGCTTCAAAATGTGTGATGGAGTGCTAAGCTGACTTGCACCTTGAGCTATCCTCCACCCATCAGATGGATTGGTTGCCACCAGAGTCGGCATGATCCTCATGTAGTATTGTTTTGCTATCCTAAAAGACTCCTCCAGGTATTCAACCACGGCCTCAATCTCTACATACATAAGATTGAGATGGAATGGATCAGCAAAATGATTAACAATCCAAGAGGAAATCAAACTGACCGGTTTCATTTTGATGGTAGATCGTTTCATCTTGCATATCGATGAGGACCTCGGCACAGAGTGGGAGCTTCGACGGAGCATGGCACCATCGCTGATAATTGCCTGGTGCTGCAAGCCAACTCAATAGGACCTGCATACTACAAAAACCCTGGTCATCAATTTGATCATAGTACCAAGTGATCCCTTTGATTTGAAATGGATTGCTCATGTTGGGATCAGAGCTTGCTGATGCTTGAGGTTGGGGGAGGCAAGATGAATAGACGTTCATTAACCCCTTTGGTGTTGAAATGTGAAATATACATAGTGTGAAATGGCAGGGAAAAAAAATACAATTCCGCAGTTTGCCGGACAAATTTTCAGAAAAAAACTAGCCCTAAACAATCCGGACATCCAAAAAAGCAGTGCCGGTTTATGCCATACGCAACTGTATGTTGACCAGGCTGAGCACGTCAGGGAACTGATGAGGGAACAAATGATGGGGGAAAACATGGCTCCTTATATACAAAATCTGGGGAGTGGCCAGCTTGTGGTTTGAGAATAGGAACAAGTGAAAAATATCAAACTGAAACACTACAGCCCAGAAGGTGGCTGCTAAGACTAAAGGGGACACAATGACATAGCCTGCTTACCCAAATGGGTACATAAGTCTGAAACACGCATAGCCACATGCAGGCGCATGCATAGAGGTAAGATACTAATCCCCAAGTGGGTACATTAGTGTGAAACAGAGAGATAAGAGAGAGAGGAGTGCATATGCAGCAGCTCCAGAAAGAGAAAGAATGAAACAAGAGAAAACAAGGAGGGTTCCTAATACCCTGGCTCTGTATGAGGGGTGACTTTCTTCCCCCCACGTGTGGTCTGGGTGCTTTGAGGTTTTGATTTGGCTCACCACAGCGAGGATGGCACTGATGCGAGGCCTCAAGCTACTGTTCTTGGGAAAAGGAAACAAGCAGTCAGGTTGTCCCAATTTTTGGATTCCTCTGAAGTCTCTGAAGAGGAGTCTGATGAGGAGGTAGCTACTTCCAAGGCATATGAGGAGTCCACAAGCGCGGATGGCCGGGGCAATGTTGACATGACCCCCTCAGGATCTGCGCTCCTAGATTACCCTCTGGTGTGTTTGATTTTTTGCCTGTTCGTTTCAATGATCAGACATTGGCTGAAACCGATCCCTTCCCCATGGAAACCCCACTCCTATTTGCTAGGTCCCCAATACTGCTGATCCGCAGGGAAACATTGGACCAATACCAACGGTGCCCAGGTTACTTCATAATCTTCATGTGGGTATATATTTCTTTTTGCAAATGAGTGATCTGCGTGCCCAGTTGACATTGGCAGAATCTGTTGATTTACACAGGTACCTGCTCCATCGTTCTCAACGAGCCCCCAGGCTGAGCCTCCCCAGGGGCTTGTGGGGATGACACCTATGGTCCCAGATGGTCCTCAGGTGAGTCTAAACTTTTGGATTGGTCAGATTCAGCCATGGTATAATCATTGTGTAGATGCTACATATTGACCAGTGCATGTTTTTCTCCCCTTGTTGTATCGGGCGATTCCAGCTCAAAATGGCCTAGACTGAGGTGGAGCATCCCAATATTGACCAGGCTGAGGGGGAGAATCCAACTGTAAGCCTCATCTGCTGTTTAACCATCTGGCCATCCTCTACTTCTCATATTTCTTTGGGATGCAACCAGGGAAGTGCCCCCCAGCGGCATCAGAGCTCAAGAGGCCTGTTAAACAAAAATGGTTCCCCAAAAGGGTTGGTGTCCTGGTGAGTTGGCCCCCTTGATTTTGCCTCATGTCATTCAATGACAATGAACTGACATTTCACCTAATATTCTTGTCTATCCACTCACGCAGAAGCCCACAATAGCGGTGCTCCCCTCGTGGATCTCCAAATATGTACAATCAACTTATGACCCCCCAGGCAATGGGAACTGTGGTTACCGGTGTGTTGCACATCATTTGGCAGTGGTTTACCCCAATGGCCCCTATGGAAAACCAGATGGGTGGCATCAAGTGTGGACCGAACTACTGGAGGAGCTTAATTCCAACAAACCTCTTTGGTCTGGGATCCTTGGAGGAGACACAGCGGTTAAACAAGTGGTGGAATCACTCACGGTCAATCGTGAGGCAAGTTATGTCCCCATGGACAAGTGGATGAGTAAAGTAGACATAGGACCAATACTCGCCAATCAATACCACACACCCGTCGCCTTTGTAGCCCCCACAGGCTCAATGACTTATATCCCCACAACCAAGCGCCCTGGAAACCAGACGACATGGCGGGTTTATTTTCATGTTTTCTTTTATGACTAGTAAAACTTAATGTGATGAGTAATAATGGCTCTATTATAGTGATTCGACTCATTTAAATATTAATGTTTTTATATGTACATATGTAACAATGTCTCTATCTTATGTACATATAAAATAGACATTTATTACAGGGTCTTTGTCAACCAACTCCCAAAATTTGTTGAGTTCCGACTCCCAAATTGATGGGACGTCGCAAGGACCGCCTGTCAACAGGGGCCAGGACGGCCTGACCCCATATTTTTTTCCCCCGGTTTCTTGGGAGTTGGACCTCCAAAAGGTCCGACTTGCTTGGAAGTCAGACCTCAAAAAAAAAATGAAAATATGAAAAAAACTGATTCCCCCGGGGGTTCTTCGGAGTGGATACTCTCAACACCCCAGGGAAGTTGGGAGTCAGCCGGCGCTGGAAAGCCCTCAGCAGCCGAGAGGAATATCTCCCGGCAGCTGAGAGTATACAGCTCTCAGCGGGCCGAGAGGGATTCCTCTTGGCTGCTGAGAGTGTACAGCTTTCAGCAATCAAGAAGTCCCTCTTGGTCACCAAGAGTGTACATTCCTCTTGGCCTCTGGAGTGTATACGCTCTCAGCCGTTGAGAGCGTACACTCTCAATTGCCGAGAGTAGCCCTCTCAATGGCCGAGAGTAGCCCTCTCGGTTGTGGAGCGTGTACCCTCTCCACAGCCGAGAGGAATTATCCCGGCCGCCCAAGAGGGTATACTCTTGACGGACAAGAGGAATCATCCCGGCTGCCGGGAGGTTTTTTTTTTCCTTTTTTCAAGCCAACTCACAACCCCCCATGGGGTTTTGAGAGTATCCACTCCCAAAAGGGGGAATCATTTTATTATCATTTATTATTATTTTTTTCACAGGTCCGACTTCTAAGCAAGTCAAACCTCTTGGAGGTCCAACTCCCAAAAACCCGGGGGGAAAAAAATTAGGGGGTCAGGACGTCCTGGCCCCCGTCGAAGGGCGGTCCTCATGATGTCCCAAAAATTTGGGAGTCGGAACTCCAAATTTTGGGAGTCGGTTGACGAAGACCCTAATTACATATGCTATGGGGGTAGTATGTGTAATAATGTCTCTAAAATATCTAATATGCTATGTTCAGGTGGTCTCTGAATAGTAGCAGGCTGACAATTGTCATCATAGAAAGAAGTTACTGAGGGAAGACTAATTTGTATCTTTAGATGTGTGGTATGTAGTATGTTGTAGCTATGTAGTACTATATATTATGTAACCAAATTATGTGTAAAAATACTATTTTTTAATGTTCTGAACTGGATAAAAAATAAATTATTATGTAGCATACGTATATCTGATTGTAATACAACAGAAACTACTAGAAATAGCTATTTTGTACTATATATGACCTTGATTGGTCTTACCACACCAGCTCAACTGAAACCAAGAAGTCAATTGATCCGGCCTCCCAATCCTCAATGGCGTCTGATGTTAACCCAAGCTCAATTGCCCAGCCTGGTTCAACTTCAACTGGGCCAGTCGGGGTCACCAATCCACCAAGAGTGCTTCCACCCCCACCCCCCCATCATCATTTTCAAGTCTTCCTCCTCCCCAAACCCAAACACCAATTCCGCGGCTCCTGGGAATCCAAATACCAATCTGTCCACACCTCCACCCCCCCACCCTCAGTATTCCCAGCCTCATCTCAGATGACACCACCAGGACCGGAGTTCATTTGATCTTGAACACGTTCCAGGGTTATCTCAACCGTCAAAAGTTCAAGCAAGCCCACCTGGCCGTCCACGCCTTCATCAATTGCCCAGCCAAATCTATGCACAAGCGGACCCCACCACCCAAATTGCCTCAGTTCACCATGGTTCACTCGGAGTATTCTCACAACGCATGGCTGAAAGAGATCCAAAAGTATTGTAAGTCTTGCTTACACTTTGGCTGATTGTCCTCTTTTCTTCACAGTTCCATCAGCTAAAGTTTCTTTTTGCACCTCCAGTGGACACTATATTGTTACCGTCATATGATGAGCCTTGGTATATATACGCCTGGTTTGATCAATATTTTGAACCTCAAGTCAGTCAACCTGGTAGAGTTGAAATTACAAGGCAATGTCAAATATCCCCTTGCCCTGTTACTTCTCGAAATTCAAAAACCGTCAAAGTTCATCTTCTCTTAATGGTCCAACTGGATCACATCTTCTATCCAATCAACTGCACAGGAATTTGCTGTTAAACCAACCTCATTAAATGACTTGAACATTGACAACCTCGACGCCCATTTGCGCATTCTCAAGTATCTCAATAGCCGTAAGACTTCCGCATAGGCATCCAATTCAGAATACGGTAAGATGTGCAATGACATGACGCTGAAGCCCTTGTATCAGCTACACAACCTCATAATCAACATTTTCATTACCTAATCAATCATTTGAGGGTCTGTGGCCTCCGACATTGAACCCAACACAGCTTCTACTGAAAGTCAAGCGTTAGTTGCACAAAGGAAGGAGCTGGATAAAAACCGCACACGACACAACTACACCCCTTTCTGCCTTTACCTTTTGGCCGATGTGCGTGGGCTTATCTTGGCTCCCTATGATTGGCAGTTTGCCTCAGGGGCATTGGCTTTAGGTTTCTTGAGTGCCGTGGAACATATCTTCACCAAAAACATTCCTCAACACGAGGGTTTGGAACCCGTTTGGAAAAGGCTTGGCACATATATTAATAGCCTTTTCATTGATTCTTTTCTCACTCCCAACTCCCTCTTCAACTTCCGCGAGCCGCAAATACTTCAACTTGCACAAGCAATTACATCCGACTTCCTTGCTTGCATCCAAGACCGATTCCCAGCGCAAAATTTTAAAATTCCTCGGGCTGTCACTGCCACATGAGCAGGTCATTGTGTTCCACTTCTAAATATTTATGCTGCCTAGAGCGTTAAATCAAATTCTATCCTATCTTCAAACCAACTACTGACTGCTACAATGAGGTTGTATAAATTCTGCTGTTATCTTGTGCTTACCAGTATCTACAATGTGTTGACTTTGCTTGTCTTGTGGTAATTATATTATCATCATTTTTGATTGTTGCCTTTGAACATTTGCTAGCATCAACATTCTGCCTGTCAAACAGGGTAAGTTACTAGGAATGTCTCAGAATACACCTCTTTTGTGGCTATTGAATTATTATTTTTACATTTTTGATGTACATGCTCCCCCCACATGTATATCTCAATTTTTTTTTCAGCACCACAAAGGTAGATCAAGGACTTGAAGTCCCGAGGCCTTGTGGAATGGTGGAAAATTTTCTGCAAAGGATGAATATAAATCAATGCCCACACACCTAAATCATGGTTCTAAGGTATATAAGCATCAATAACAAGAAAATCAAAAGAAAAACCTTGAATCATTTTTCAAGAAAATCATCAAAGACCAGGAATGACAATATTGGAACTGAAATGAATGATAAGCAATAAAAATCAAAAAAGAAATCACTCACAGGTGGCTCAAAAAGGTGATCAAGGACTTGAAGTCGTGAGGCTTTGTGGAAAATGGGTTCCCAAGTTGAAAGAATGAATGTGATAAAGGAAACACAAAAAAATGAAATTGTGTAAAAACACAAAATCAACAATGCAAGCTTTAACTTTGTTTTTCAGTTAAAAGTAAATTCTTAGAAAGCAGGAATGGAATAAGAATGGTTATAACTTATAAATGAAAAGGGATTGAATTCAAAAAGGGTTGAGCTTGGTGGGTGAACATTCTGCCACCAAAAGTGGGAGATCACAGTGCCAGAATGTATCACATTTACTGATAAATTATCCACTCAACTGTCTTTGTGGAGCTGAAAACAAGTGGCAATATACATCTAGGAGGAGCCTGTAGATTCAAGGAAGATGACATAGCAACTTGTTTTTCACTATTTGGCCATAAACTAGAAAAATGGTAACTATAAAGTTGAATTTACATCTTTGGGGAGAAGAACAGCTCCAGATTCATTATTCCTTGACAGCTGGTGGTGTGTTTGTATAGATTTCAAAAAGGAAGAGTGCAAGATGCCATGGGAGGGAAAATTAATGACATCCCCACAACACATGAATTCTATACACAAAACAGGTGACCTTTTCAGTGACACTGCTCACTTTTGAGGGGTTATTCAAGGTGAAAGTTGAAAATATACATAAGGTGTTGCAGGTGAAAATTTAGGAGGATATAAAAAACATAGAATAAGCATATTCAGCAATTGTTCTAGTTTTGTTTGCGGTGTATACAAGCAACGATGAAACGGATGCGATGCGTGCATCGGTATCGCATCGCATCGGGCGTTTATCGCATCGCATCGCCCGCATCGTCATAACCGATGCGGAGAATCGGCATCGCATCGATTTTCCGATGCGATGTCCGATACCTGGCTTGCGATGCCGATGTTATCGGCAGGTATCGGCTCAACCTCCCTCCGAGTCGACTCTGAATCTGAATCTGATTGACTCCGAGGGCGAGTCACTACTTGGAGCCAAAATTCAAATCACCCTGTCCTGACTCCGACTCGGATTATGTATTACCCCTCTCCAGTTACAGGAAGTTATGAACATCCGATTCGGTAGGGCGATCACCAATCCTTCAAACGGTACTCGTCACACTCCATTGGAAGTCAAGGTTTGATTCCACAGACCAGCCCAGCCTTTCAAATCCGGTACCTACGGCTTGAAGGACTCGCACCTCAACTCATCGGATGAGAGCAGTGACGAGGATCGATCGATCAAGACTCGTGATGATACCGTCAACTGCGCTGGTTTGTCGGCCATCTCCAAGGATCGACCACCTGAAGGGCTCTCTGACCCTCCAGTGTTCAATACGTCCATCTCACCCACTCGTCCTAACGTCAACTCAAACGGTCCCGGACCCAAACAATCAGACACATGCCTCCAACAGCTTCTGTCAAGGATGTTTCGGTCGTGACGACTATCACCAGTCAGACTCAATTCACTGAGTCATTGAACCGATTACCTGAGAGCCTCGCCAAGACCATCCAGGTAAGCTTCAAGCTCAAGCCTCTCCATACAAGCTCCTTGGGCCGAACCATCACCGAGAGTAATGTTTCTAATCGCCTGCCGATTGTCCATACCTATTTCTGCCAGTCTCCGAAAATGAAGCGCGTACATAAATCTAGTGGCAAGCAAGGAACGCCAAGGAATCGCGCTGCTTTGGGTGGGAACTCGACTTCAAGGGACCCACAAGCACCTCCTGTAGCAGTAGCTGATGGTAAGCCACAGCAAATTACCCCTCATCGGAGCTTGAAAACCGGGCTAACTCGCCTTCCCTTTGCCCTCTACGCATCCAGAACCAGCTCTGCTCTTTTGACCCGATGCGTCCGATACGGGCGATAAATACAAGCATCGCATCGCTTAAGCGTGTATCGCTAAAACGATGCGATACCGATACAGGGCGATTTATCGCATCGTATCGCATTGTTTCATCGTTGATACAAGTAGTTTTACATACTGTGTTTCTCAAAAAGCTTGGACACAATTCACTTTTTTTTATCACATTTCATGGATTTAGCTTTTTTATTTGATTAATTTCAAATTAGTTTCTGCCTGAGTTATCCCATGGCTTTTGAGCCTCTTCCCGGTGCATGTGACGACCCAGTGCCCGGCCGGCCCCTCTGCTGAGGCAGAGGGGAGTGACCAACAGCCACATGTGTCGACTGAGCACGGTCATAAATCGCTCCGGTTCAGAATATGAACTCGGTTTTTCGTTAACTCTACTCCAAGAGCACCTAGTGGAGCAGGTTGACTCCCGAGGTCGTTTTAACCCTGGGTGTTATCTGAAAGGTGTCAAGACAAAACCCAAAGGACAAAATCAAAATATGGGATTTCTCAAATCAAAGCCAAATCAAAATTATTCCAAGGTTTTCGAGAAACGCAGTAAATGTTTGAGCATGGCAATGAGCCCACATTGCCTTGCTTTTGGGGGTGGTGAGACTGCCTAGATAATGTGAGAACTAATCTCTTTGTACTACCTGTTGTTCTTTTGATAGTTGCTCAAGCTTTTTATTCCCTTTTTTCATTCCCTTTCATTCCATTTCTTGCCTCAACTGCCTTCTTTAATGTCTCTATAATTATCAAAGCTAACTGCAACCATTTGTCATCCTCCCTTTCTGTGATCCTTCAAAAAATCTCAAAAAAATTGGTTCGGTTCTCACTCAATCACTTCAAAAAGGCAAAAAATCAAGATGCTTGGTTTGGTTCTTACTGTTCTTACTCAATCACTTTCATCGGGTAAAAATCTAAATCAGTCAAATGGTTCTCAATCAATCGCTTGGTTTGAAGTCATTCTCTCTTCGACATGGAACTGTTGTCGCCCATCGCTTGAATCATATCTCGGGATGGAGTTGTGACTTAAGCAAGGCAAATAACACTGCCAAACCTTCCATACTCTTAGTTACGATGTTGTTTTTTTCTCAGCTCTTATAACAAAATTAGACCGGTTGTTCCCAATGATGATATCAAAAAAAGAGAATCTAAAATGTTTAGCTTTTTGATCTATAATCGAGTGAGAAGTGTGATTACAGTGTGGCTTGTTTCTTAGCTGAATAAACCTAGACCGGTTGTTCCATATGATGATATACAAAACGTACATGGCACAACTTTTGACCAAAAAAAGTGAATAAAACATTCTGATTTGAACCGAGCAAGAAAAAAGAAGTGCAAGCAAGAAAAAAAAAGAAAATGCAGCGAAAACACGGTTTTTGACGATTGCAACAATTGTTGATGATGTACATATGACATGAGAATCCACTGGAAAATCTGATTGTTTTGTTTCATTAATCTTATCATTTGCCAGCTACTCGCTTGCATCCTGGTGTCCCTCTGAGAGATCAGAGTTGGGCACGTTAAATTGTTTCGATTACGGTGACGTCAAGACGTGTGGGCTTGCTCTGGGAACGACCGGAAACTCGTTATGGCCCTCTTGCTTGCCTTCGCAAGCGAAAGATGGTCCACTTTGCTTCTCACTTCGATTCCAAACGGGCTGTATCTGATAAGCCCTCGTTTGTGTTCATGGTGAAATGAAGCCGGTCGGCCAGGTGGCCTCCCGATTGGCGATCTAACGGGAGGATGAGAACCGGCGGGACTGGAGATGAAACACCGCTGCGAAAAGCATCACAAGCTCTATCAGGAACAAACTTGGATGAACTTCTTCGACCAAACATGACATCATCAGCAATGCAGCATACCCATGAGTGTGGCTGCTGGTAGTTTGCTAGTATGTAGGACTGTTTTTCAGCGGTACAGCCGACTGCGGTCGATGAGTGACTTGGTGGGATTTTAATCTCCCACTTGCAAACACACGGCCAACAAAGCAAACAGACTGCCCCATGAGCCTGTTTGCTCTTTGGTTATGCTGAGCTGATCCACTGGTACACATCCATTTGCATACACGACTCCCAACATCAGCTACAGCAGATTTGCCAAATCAGGAGGCCCATGAATCATCTGGAAGATGAATTTTTTCATTGGCTCAAATCCTCACTGCCCCCATCACATTGAGCTATTCCTAGTGTGATCCAGCCTAGATTCCCATTTGATAAGACACATGAAACAGAGTATTATCTGAAAGGATCTTAGCTTGGCCTGTTCTTAAGGCCATGGTGTATGAGCTTATTGCCAAAAACAAATTGAACTGTTGTTGGGCTTGGTAGTGCTGAAATGAACTCTGTATGCATTTAGCTGCTTGTACCCTATTACACCCAATCCAGAAAAGGAGGGCATCTTCTCCTCAAATGCACCAGCATGCTTGTGCAGATCCATCCTATTCTTGATCTGGGTAAGGGTAAGTGCCCTGCTGGATTGAAGGAGAATAAGAGCTTCTAGCTCAAACCAAAACTTTACTGGGTCATAAAGTGGTAGTATCTGCAGACAAGCGAGCTGGTGGAGGGCATGCCATCCTTTTCTGGATTGGCTGTATACCCTATTGTGCCCTGATTTTGGAATTTGCAAGTAAATTGTAGACAGACTGTTCTCCTACACACAACATGTCTCCCATCTGCAAGACATGCATCCTCCTTTCCACCCCCATCCATTTCAACCTCCCAGGCCACCGCCAAACCAGCTATAAATCAGACCTCTTGCACCCTTCTTTCCATCTCTCTTTGACTCCCACTTCCCTCCATCCCATCCCATCCTCCCCCCTCATCCCCAAACAACATCCTACATACACTGCTCTTTGTTCTCAATTGAGTTTGCTCAGCTCATTATCATCCATACACCAAACACCCATCAGATCTTTCTCCTCATTCCATCCCTCATCTCACCTCAAGTTTTGACTTGATACTTGCCACACTACATCACCACTTTGTACTACTTAGTTGTACCTTGGTGTAATAGGTGTGCTCTTCTCTCCTCCCCCTGGACTCCAGCTACTCCCAGGCTATTGTGATGTCTGAACTGAAACTGATTTGACTCTCCTGTCGGTCGCCCAGTCGCACTGCTCCCCGGTCCGCGCTGCGCACCCCAACCCGTAAAGTTGCCTACTACTTAACACACTTAACATCCTTCGTAAGTCCATCCGGCCATGTCCCGTCCCCAATCCCGCTTCGGCTTGAGCATGCTTCGAGAAACCTCTTCCTCGGCCATCTGCCGCTGCAAGTGGTCCAACACGGATCCTTCCTCCTTTACCATCATCATCTCGTTACACATTGTAACGACCATGTTGCGAGTGACCTCCTTCCTTGCACTTCGTGCCAGACCTCTCATCCTGAGCTTCGTGCCCATCTCGATGGCTCGCGAGAAAGAGGGATGAGGGTGCCAGACCGGCCACTGCTCAGTTTTCTGCCCGACGACTCTCTCCCATCGAGCCGCTCCTCTTGTACTAGACTCGGTCTAACCCTTGTTCTCCTGTTGATCATTCCAGGTCGTATCATGCCGACTGGATACGTCACCGACTCCGACAATGACACAGACCAGTTGGACGGTGGAGCAAGTGAGTCAGACTGCGATGATAAAATTATTCCCGGGGCCCTCCAAAGTGCCAACAGTCGTGTATGGTCTACTCGCGTAAGAACACTCCCACTTGACTTGAATCACTGTTTTTCTTGTCCGTCAAACTGACTCACCCACACACCTCATACCTTCTTCGATCAACCAGGAACTTTACAGCAGAATGAATAAGTGTGTATTTCGAACGTTCAACGCGTTGATTTGGTACTGGCCTGACTTCTGCTGCTTTTTTTTTCTCAGTAACGCCATAGACGTCGCACCCCCCTATCAGCGTGATGTCGTATGGACCAAACCGTAAGCTTGATCCGTTGATGCAGACATAGAAGGATCACAACTGATTTTGAAATTCTCCCAACAGTTCTCAATCTGCCCTTATCGATTCGATATTAAAAAAGTGATTGAACCCCTTGGAAGAAAGTTGTTTATCTACCCGACATGTATAGCTAACATGCGTCTTGTGACTCACAGCAAATGGGTTCCAACGTTACTCTTCAGTGAACGGCCGGCTAGTGTCGATCGCCACGGAAAAAAACGCAAAGCGAGATGGGTTTGTATAGATGGCAAGCAACGCTTGACCAGCATCAAACTGTCAGTGGACTTTCATCTCTGGTCCCGTGAGCTTGTTTAGGTGACCAATGTCTTGTATTGCCCATAGCTTCCTCGATGGGATAATTCCTTGGTACATGTACGCACAACCTGATCAAGCTGAAGTTATGCCCCCCCCCCCCCTGCACGTGATCTCTGACTACCCCTTGTGCTGGTATATTATTCAGCAAGCCGAAACAGCCGCTTTTTTTCAAGCAATCCAATCCACCACAACCCTCAAGGAAGCTTCTGACAGAAGAGCAGCAAGAAGTCTTTCTTAATCGTGGACTTATTGCTGCCATGTATAATCAACTCACTGAACTTCAAGAGCGCGATATCTTCAGATTAGTCCAGGAGGGAAAACCTCTGACGGCGGGTGAGAAGATGCACGCTTCTTCCGGACCGTAAGTACTTTGATATCGCTAAGCCCGTCAGGTCTGTGGAGTGGCTGACTTGCTCCATTATCTGCTTTTCAGATGGGGAGTATACATCGACGAATTGACTGAGAGATACATGGTTAGGAACGAGGATCATCCTAACGGTTGGTGCGGGAGAATAGCAAATCTTACACGTGGTTCTGTGCGCAGCAATATCTGAATTTCCTCTCCTGTCTGAAACTGATTGTGTATCCCTCCATCATCCAGGATTTCAAAACTATGGCACAGATTGTTATTATGATACGGGATAGAATATATAATTCGCCCGATCCCCCTCGTTTTTTGACAACCGTGAAGGTTCAGAAAGAGCTGGATATCCTGTCCCAAACTGAGGTCCCCGAGAAGCTCAAGCACGAAATTGAACATGTACTGGACTACTTTAAGGATCTCTCGACGCTTGCGCCTCCAATGACTCCATACACCATCGTATTAGGAACCCCTGACGCCCTATTTTACCCAATTCAAAAGGGCAAAAAGACAATGATAGCTCCTGTCGAGATGGTTTGGATTCCTTACTTGATTGCGGTTCATGCTAAAGAACTCACAAGGGGTAAGGTATTGGAGATGGTTGAACTGTACAAAATTGATGGTAAGCTGGTGATAAATTACTATGTAGGCAATCCACATTGCTAACAACGTTGCGATTGAGTTTATAGTTCGAAAGAAGTATCCCAACGAAGTCAAAAGTAATGCTCCACTCACGGCTTGGACCGCAAACTGGATTGAAAACTTTGATCTGGCAAGACTACGAGGTAAATACCAGGGTTGGTTTGTCCCTCGTCCAACCCCTCAACCTGTATTTCAAGACGAAACCAAACCTGAAGGCTCGGGATTGCGAGACATGGCCAGGCGTAATCTATCGATTCAAACCGCTGCTAAGAGAGACGCGCCTACCCCAGACCCAACACTTGCCTCGAGCCCCTGTACATCGACAGCGTCTCTACCCAAGAGACCCCGTTGCTCTATTCCGGGACCTGCTGGCCAAGGCGCCGCCAAGTCCCCCACCATACCATTTCAGCCAAATCGCAATTCATTGCCGAAAGACTCCACACCATACATGCGTCCGGTGGCTCAAACCCGCTCTAACACGAACTCCAGCGCGGGCATACCACCTACCAGCGATGCTCTCAAAGCACGAGCGTTGGCTCAACGAGCTCAAGCCGTAGTCGCATGGAGCCCGAATCTGATGGGTAATGGCCAGCAGTCCACCGCTAGCTCGTTACCGAGCCAAACTATCGCGTATCATGCGACCGAGTCTGGAACTGTTCGACCTGGCGCTCTGCCCCAGAACGGCTCCCGCCTCGTTCCAAATTATCCTAGCCGCCCATCTAACTTTTTGCTACCCAACAAACCGATGCCGCCCAACATGTCAGCAATTCCGCAACAGCAAACCAATGGAAACGTGAGTTATCGTTTAAGCGCTCATCCTCCCGCTCCACCGACTGTCCCTCAAGGACAATACAGGTTAAGGTAAAATCTGACAAAATGTTCTACTACAGACACATGTTCTCCAATCGGCCTCAACAACTCATCCCAACATCCCTAATTGACACTGAACGGGATCTGTGTAGAACTTCCATACTCATACATCTTCAGAACATGCATCACAAAAAAACAGTCAAGCATTTCGTGCTCATTTTGAACCAAAGCCCAGCAAATCAACTTCACAACATAATGTCTTGACAGTTTCCTTTTTGGATTGAATATCACTAGATATTCATTCCGTTATTCCTTCTGATCTTATTGCATTTTATCATCCATTTTCAAATCATCAAAAGGACCGTTTTCTAGTCCAGACAATTCATCATTGATTGTGAAATTGTATGATTACTTTTATATGACCTAGGCGTTTTGTTCATCAGTGGGCAGAAATTCAAGCAACCCCCTTTGAATCATTCCTTTCAAGTCTGCTCTGCATGTACTTTGGCTGGGACTTATTTCCACACAAAAAAACAGTGAAGTGAAGCCCAACCCAAGCTTGATGAATCTGAGCGTTTTGTGAGTTGAAAAATAAAAAAAGAGATTTAGTTTTGAACATGATGATCAACAGGTTTGAGCATGTGAGGAAATTTGAATTTGATGATTTACCTGAAATCCAAAACTAGGATTTCTGGCCATGGTACAGGCCCTCAGTTAAGTTTAGCTTTCTACTACTACTCATGCCCTATTGCCCTCAATAGATAGTGCTGGACAGAGCCAAATCCTAAAGCACCTCACACAATCTTGTTCAAGAATGAAGTTTTTTTTTCATGGGACCATTCTATTCAGCTTGAATACAATAAATAGACACACAGTCAGGATGTAAATGGGTTAAGAAAGAAAGGGGATATTGTTGAGGAGTCCAAGCAACACTGGGCCGCTACACTACACTACGCTCAACGGACCACTAACGTTAGTGTAGCGGCCCTCAAAACAGTGTGCCAAACCTGTAGTGTTAGCGCACTGTTAGTGCCACTATGCTACGCTGTGCTACAGTGTTTCTAGCGGCAAAAACAGCCCAAAAACCACTAAAATGTGCTGTAGCGCAGTGTAGTGGGCCCTTTTTTGCCTCCCACACGTGTAGCATTAGCACATATTTCTGTATCTGCACTACCATTACTCTACAATTGTAGCGTATTTGCGCTACACTACACTAGACTAATGCTACCGCTAGCATAGCTGGCCCAGCGTTGGTCCAAGGGGACATTCTAATCCTTAATTTTTATTTGATTTTGTATACTTGCTCAGTAATATGCTCCATTTGAGCCTGAGCCTCATTTCATTTCTTCTGAATTTTGAACCAGTAAAGCCTAATTACTACAGCCAATTTCTGACTCAATTATTGGAAGTGAAATTTCCTTGGCAATCTCACAATTCCATCAGACTTTCACTATATTCTTCATCTGAAAATCTCATAAAGGCAAGAGGGAAATGGTTTATCTTACTTTGGAAATGTGGCCCAGGCTAAGGGATGTTCCTGGGGTTTGGGAAAAGGCTAAAGGGTCATCACAAGGAACAAACCCTGGAAAATTGGGGCTTGCCCTGAAACCTGGGCCCCCCTGACTATTTCTTTTTTTTTCAAAAATAATTGAGAGGCTGAATTAGTCAATACTGTCCAGCAATTTCCAATCAAGGGGCTTCTGAATTCAAAGCAAGTTTTAATCAGGACCAAACTCAAGAATAAAAACACCCTTTTGTGGTTTTGTTTCCCCCAGAAAGCATTTTTTTGCCCCAGCATTGTATTAGCCCACTCCCAAGATTGCTGGCATACAAGCTGATATTCTTTTCTATTGAAAGAAGACATTGAAACCAAGGCCATCAAGTTCCTTCCTTATTGGACAGGCCAACAGATGTTATTCCCAAAACTGGCCCTGATGGCCCAGAAATTGAAGAAACTCAAGATTTTTGCCAAGAGAAAGGGAGAACAGACTGGTAGATGAAAACCGCAATGTGGTAATTTAATATGTAAAAATTTCAGGTTTTTTCTTTATATACATTTTTCTCATACATTCACTCAGAAATCAACCAATACGGCATCAGAAATGGACTCTACGGACAATTTCAGCCTAGGTCACCACTGGACGCATCATTGGAACCCTCATGGATTCAAAGTTACACCTCTACGGACACATATCACAAGCCAATACCCAGTCAAGCACATGTCGCAACCCTCAGATCACCTCTCAGTTATGATTATACACAGCTCACAGTATACACATAATTTCCCACACCTCTTTATCTCCACCGCATATATTAGTTTAGTTTTATTTGTCACCTCATGCACTGCCTTTGCAGGCTGCACAGTCTTGACTGAATTACTTTTCCCACAGTTCATTAATTTCCTCACCTCATTTATGACAACAGCTGGGGTTTTCCCACACTTTATTGCCTCATTTGACACTTTCTCGCATTATTTACGCACTGCAGCACAGCCTTTGACATTAATTGTACACAGCCTCACTGGTTAATTTCCCTCACTTGCATGATCAGACTAGCTAAATTCACTCATTTGTACCTACAGGCCAGCTAAAATCACTCTTTCTTGTCTGACCTGGAGCTAAATTCCCTCACATTTGTCTATAAAAGGGGGCTCTCTTCCCCCCATTTGTTGTCTCCTCAGTTCATTCAGTCAGTTCATCACTCAGCAGTCAATCAATATTCAACTCACCAGTTAAAAACAATTATATAAGCCTTTCACCTGTTACACAACATAACAGTTTCTTTTATAAGCAATTATATATCCAACCTTTACTTTTCATAAAACAAAGTTTATACCGGAACCAACCAATCCTATCACGTTATTAAAACTTCCCAAGCTAAGCTTGGGGGTCTTGTTTCTGATAGTATAGAAGGGCAGAGTTTGCACCTCCATTTTTCCCCTTCTCAATTCAGCAAAAGGGTTTCACAACCACTTTTGAGTCTTACAGCAAGGAAAAAGCTCTGAGGGGAAAAAATGGTCTAAGAGCCCCAAAAAGGGCTAGAGTCTGCTAGCTTGCGTGAAGGAAAAGCGTACATGCTACAAGAGGTTGTATTTGTTATTGACCTCAGGGAAATGGCACAGAAGACAGATGATCATTTTATTTTCTAACTCAGAGGCATGGAAATTTATCTACATACATCAATGGCAGAGTTGTGGGACAGAAGGTGAAAGAGATGAATATTCATTTGGAAACTGGGAGAAGGAAAGTGACAGATGAAAAGAGTGTAACAGGGATGTGATAGGGAGAGAAAGAGCAGGACACAATAGCTTCAGAATTCCAACAGAAATACCCATTGATCCCTGCCACAAATGTGTCATCAGAACATGTTTTTTCCAATGGCCACCAAGTTGTCTCATGGCAGCAATCCTCTCTCAAGCCTGCAAAAATTGAGGGTCTGCTTTGCTTCAAGCTTGAACTGATTTCAGTCCTTTGATGGCCCCTAACTGTTTATCATCTCTTTTTGCTTCCTTTTTTGTTTCTTTTCCATGAAAAAAAAAACTTGTAATACATGATAAACAAGTCAAATAGGAGGAAAAAAACTTGTGATACACAATAAAAAAGTGAAAATTCCCAGTAATCCAATGTTTTTTCTACCACTAGAAAACCCTGGGTTTTCAGTGTTTACCAAGACCCCATCACGAGTCTTGATTTCCGGGGTTTGGGACTGGGGAAGCCCCAGGATCCTAAGGTTTGGGACCATCCCTTAACCCAGGCAGAATCTTGTTGGAATTTCACCTGTTATTGATCTCCCTTCTCCTTCATTTCACAACCATGTCACTCCTTTTGTTTTTAATTATGAATTTATTTCTTATTCATTATGAATCACTCTGTCCCACAAGTTGATCAATGATGTATCTAGACTACTTAAAGATCTCTAGATATTAAGGAATTAAATCATCAGTCTTAGCTATTTTTGATCTGGTCCTAAGTGGACACTTAGAGCATCCGCATCGGTTCCTAGGATTAGACTAGGTTAAACCAATGACTTTAGTCCGGATTAGGGCTAATCCACACTGTCAACCGCATTAGTCCGGATTAAACTCCTGGCTTAAGGCCTTTAGTCTAGCCTAACTCTGGCATCCACATTGGCTTAACTGCCATCAGCTCCAGGTCCGGCTATCCACCTACCCATCATCACAATGGACAAAAGGTCTTTAACCGAATGCCTTATCTCATTGCAACCAACTCATTTGATGGCAAGCAACTCATTTGATCGATCGAGATGAAATCCCCAGCCATACAAGCTGACAACCTGATCCGAAGAATCAGATTTCTCCGATCATTTTTTTTTCTTCAATAAGGCTCCAATTGATGTTTTTCTGCAACCTTATGCATATAAAAATAAAACACAATTCATTTCTTACTTTCATTAAGTAATAAATTTTTGAGATGAGAGAGAAACAAGCGGAGACAAATCGAGGCTTCTTTTCTTGGTTCAAACAAGCTAGAAAAATGTATCTCTATGTATATTTGTGAGAGTTATGAGATTGTGAAAAGAGGTGAATTGGAAAGATATAAACAATTACAACAACACTGGATTGATTCGTGCCAGGTGATCTGAGTACAGTTCGGTCAGGTTTGAGTCGGAGGATTCATGTTGACCAGGATTGGCCAATCATGAGAGGGTCCAGCTGATCGCATCGACACATTCCAGAGTGTTCATCCGATTGATGTTGTGAGGTCCCCTCTGATCGATTGGGAGAGTCCGCTTTTGAGTCGATTGTGTTGATGGAGTCGATGGAGTCAATGGAGTCAATGGAGCCGATGGAGTCAATGGAGTCAATGGAGTCAATGGAGTCAATGGTGTCGATGGAGTTGATGGTGTGGATATCATCTACTTTGATCCTCCTTAATCCTGGTGATGATGAATATTCAACTTGACTTTAGTCTGAGGATTACCGGGTGCTAAATTTAGACCCGACTAGCTCCAAATGGAGATCTGGATCTTTTTGATCCTGTCTTAATCTGACCTGATGCGGTTGCGCAGTTGGATTAAGTGCCTTAATCCGCACTAAGTTGACGACTGATGCGGATGCTCTTAAGCCTCCATTTAGCCTTTCTCAAAGCGCACTTTAGCCCGCTTGTCTAAGTACAAATAGCATCTCTCAGACTTTGTCTGCTTTCGGCCCTGCCGACTTTTTCCCCTCATCGACTCAAATTTCATCAAATCTACCTGTGGGGATGACGTGTACAAGATCTACATTTATAAAGCAGTTTGAATAACATTCCTTGAAATATTAATCATTCCTCCCAATATGATAAATGCAGCATGATTCTGAGATGATTCAATAATAGAATTCCTAAATTCTAAATGGAGAGGCTTCCCAATTAATTGATTGTGTGACCTTTACCCAATAAATATTGAAAAACATTCAATATTTGATTAGAATCCAATTCAGTTTTTATGGTATCCTCTGGTTTTCATTTATTTATACTGTTGTGGCCATACAAACTCCAAACCTGGAGCATGGAGTGTAGAAGAGGAGGTCAAGGTGGGAGTAATACAACTTGAGGGGTCCTTTTCCTCTCCCATCTAGGATATAAAGAAATACTAGAGTATCAAGATCACATATTTTGAGTATGGGAATGATTCCATGGCTCAAGAAAACTTGGCATCTTGGTACACGTACTAAAACTGGGTTTCCAGGGGAGGTGGGGGGGCGTTTGGTTGATTAAAATTGATTTGATTCAAATGGAAGAATGATTTTTCATATATAATCTAGGCATAAGCCTTAGTTTTGTATCAAGTGTCCTCTTATAAAATCTCCTAATAAAATTGAATTCGAAAGTGAAGAATGGGAACAAGCAAAAAGCGTATTGATCTGCTCATACTATTGCTCCATCACTAGAACCCCCCCTTTTTTAGTTAAAAATCGTCCATGGGGCTACAGGCAACCGCTACGGGTAGTTGTAAAATGTTCAGGATATCGGTTAGTGCGTCGCTAGAGCATAACACAATCAATAAGAATTGGAAGCTTACCAACGGCTGGGGCCCCGGCTGAAAATTGAACGACCGCATTCTGTCGCGATCCAAAAGCTATCAGCATATGCAGACATATCCAAGTAAGAACAATAGGTTAGTTTCTTACCTGAAAAATTTGGCTTTCTGTGACTATCATGCCTGTGGAGGGAAGTAGGTTAATTAACTTCGAATTCAATAGCTTTGGGCGCGCCAAGAATCCTGACGAGCATGTAAACTTACGATAATCACCACAAGTGGAGATGGGCGGTACGAAGTTGACTTGTATCTTTTCACCGCTTAGACCATTTCTCGCTCTAAGGCCACGTGCCAGCTACGTGTTTTCAAAGTCCGAATCCATCGGGGAAAACAGCTGCGTCAGCCAATTAAAGATTTACTCAAGTGCGAATATAGTGCTAGCCGGTGTAAAGAGACTTACGATTACTCGCGAAGGTCCAGGGTTATATCCCTGCTCTCTCCTTGGTACCAAAACTACATCTATAGCCTTTCGGAAGCCATGTCGTTGATTCAAGCCAAAGTGAAATAATATTAGGTACTAGTTATGTAGATAGCGGTCTATGCTGCTAGAGCTCGTTGGGACTAACCAAAGTTCTCTCACCGATATTGGTTTGAGCAAAAGTTGTTGGACAGTTATAAACGAGTTGAATATCGCCCATCGCACCACCTTGATTGACGAATTGGGCGCCCTCAGAAGGCATGAGTAGCGTTCCTGCTAGGTTCAATTGAGTAAGTTGATGGTCAGAGACATTTCCATTGATATTCTCCTGTACGAGTTTGGCTGGTTGGCCTCTAGACGGAAGGACACCAAGAACCAAGGCTGATAGGAAGAAGGGGAGTGTCGAAAAATACATCGTTAGAAAGATAGGGCGGAGTGTATCGTTTTCTGAATATAGTAAAATGTGACTTTGGTTGACAATGGCAATAGTGGAACCCAGCTCTTGTGGCAAGTTATGGTCAGCTGTCAAATTGTTCAGATGTTGTGGTTTGTGTTCTGCGAAGTTCTTTTTTTTTCTTCACGGAAACCTGTGTCAACAGTGGTGCACAAGCTTCCCAAGGAGCCTTGATTTAGTGGACTTGCAGCCCGATATGCCAAAAGTTCATCGAACGGATAATACTGCATGTTCATGAATGGTCCCAGCATGCTAAACGGAAACATTCATCGGAAGTCCCCGTCATTCGAGAGTCTGCTACGTAGATCGAGGCCGTTAAACGCCTCAGGATGGTAGCCGTAGCTTTCAAGCATGTTAATTCTGAATGTTATTGTTTGGCATCGGTCAATCTTCCACAGCTCTCGAGTCACAACAGGATCCAGCTCAATGTCGCTACAGCTATTAGGGATTATTCTCCTTCCGGTTGAGATTTGTCTTGTCTGGACAGTTTTTGGAGAAAGGTACTAAAGAAAATTGTAGTCTTGTTTGAATCAAGGAGAGCTGATTGGCTCAGTTATTTGGGAAGGGCACTGGACAAAGGTGAAATCTGAGTACAATTGAGAAAAAAAGTTGGATATAAATTATTTGGATTAATTTCCCAGCTGTAAGTGCCAAGTTAATACATTTTTTCCATCGTGCAGTCAAGTTACAAAAATCCTGTTATCTTCACATTTGAACTCTACATACGGTTGAGATAGGATTGCATACAGAGCAGTGATATCCATATAGAGTCAGACAATTTCCTCTTTCTTGTGTTCAGCTTTCATAGTCCTCAATGGGTCTGGTCATGTCACATCTGTTCATATCTGCGCAGTTCACCAGGTCACTCTGATAACTTCAATTTTCTCACTAAAATGACACAAGTACCATTAAAGCATAGCTATAACCTCACTGCTCAGGTATAACTTTCAGTTATTCAAACTGTTGCATATCAATAGATAAGTTCTTACTTCCATGACTTCCCACTCATCTTGAGCAGGCATATTATGACATGCGCAATCAGAGCTGATAATTTCACCTCAGGATCGTGGTTGCTATGCTCAAAAGCAAACTGAAGTAGTTTTATTCATATTATGTAAATTAATTATATGTTTGAACACTGGATCTGTTAATCTGTACCAATATGCAACCAAAGAATTCATGTTGATGGAATGTGACCGCTTTCGCGAAAGCACTTTTCAAAGCTCGGAGATGGAATTCGGGGGATAGATCTTTGGGGCAACCATGTTGGCGCACTCGAAGCCTGAAATGTAGAATCAATGTATTTTTACAGGGTGTTGTGGGGGGAGGGGTCAACGTAATCCAAGGTATTGTCTAAGTCAACTGGCCGATCACTTGGGAAAAAAAGAAAAGTCTCCATGTGGGAAAAAGTTTGGTTTAGTTGGAAAAGCGAAAAGAAAGAGATTACTCAACGAATTATTGGAGCGGCGGATTGAAAATGAATCACAGTGTCCTTTGTTTGAGCGAATGCCAAAATTAAGAGTGTCAGCTTTGAGGTTCTAGCTCATGTATGATCGAAAAATCAAGCAATGAAAATAAAAGATCCATGTCGCACTTTGTAGAGCTGCCTCTCATAGACCACCAAGTCTATTTTTTTGGATATAATGCAATTGCACATGTTAGTCCTCCAACAACAGTGTTGGTATTGAACATAAGGCACTTACGAAAATCGCCACATGCTCCAGGGGGTGGGACAAAGTTAGCCCAGATGGGTTGGTCACTACCACTGTCATGGGGTCTCAAGCCGTAGGAGAGCTGTGTTTACGGTAGATAGAGCCCATTATTAAAAGGAAGATAAACACCTCACAAGACTCAGAAGATTGTCCGCTCACATGAATTACCGATTCGCTGCTGAGGTTGATGGATCCTGTTTGACTTTGATTAGAAACTGGTATTAAATGAAGGTCGATCGTACAAGTTCTGGCGCCAACATCATTTGTTCCATCCGAAACTCCCTTATAAATAACTTCTACGTTCCCCACAGCCCCTACGTGATTCTTGAAAACGGCGCCACCTTTTGGTTGAATTAGAATGCCACTAGGCCCTGCTGTTTTGGCTATCGAAGCATAAGGCGATGTTGGTAGGTTCGATCCCTGATCTTCGCCTGGGCTCGAGCTGTTCGCGTTCAAAGGCTTGCTGTCCTCACGGCAAAACGCAAGAAGGATATGCGATAAACTAAGAAATAATTTTGTAAAATTGCGCATGGTGCGATTCAAATTTTAGTTGGAGTGCAAATGTGGGGTTTTCGGGTTTAGAATCTTTTTCTCAAGCAATATTTGAGATCGAGAGAGGCGAAAAATGAGTACAAATGCGAAGCAAAAAAGCAATAAATAGGTGGTCCTTGGCTAGATGAATGGCTGGCCGCTTCGATTGTGAGGAGACCGAAACTATCGGCGCAAGGTTTTTCTCGCCTGCTTTTCCTGAAAGTAGGAAGTTCAACTGACAGCTACATATTTGCCTATATTCAAGATTATTTTGAAGGATGCACGAATCGGCTACGGTTTTATTTACAAGTGACGGGGTGATCGGGGCAATTGCTTGATGGAATACACTGTCTGTCTATCGCACCAAATAGCACGATGCTACTTGACCGGTGTATCAGATCATTCCCATTCCCTGAGTTGAATCGTCGGGTGAATGTGACTCGATCTGACCAGCAACCGCATTGGTCCCGGGTTAAGCCGGTTCCAGATTAACACCCGCCAACCTGAGCGACCGGCATGTGAAGCGCATTCTGTACGGCGATTTTTAAATGAGCTGACCTTAGTCAGACTCAAACTAATTGTGTGGTTGCCCCATGGGTTTAGCTGACCTACTCAAGGTCAGTTGACCCGAAGGTTTAGAGCATCTTAAGCCTTTGGCAGCCCAAGTTAAGTTTTTGGTGAACCAACTACATAAGTCCCTCCTGAGTGCAAAGCACACACCTCCAAAGAAATGATACATCTTGCAGCCCCACGCTGCCAGGCAAATTCAAAAGGATTTTGATTAGTTTTGATTTGTTTATTTTATTGTGCTTTGACTGACATTCACTTCACAGGGTCCCAGTCCATGGCTCCTTGGTTTTTGGGGGCATGAGGACCCTTGAAACTTGAAGAGCTTGCAACTGTTGTAAATCCAAAGTGTGCAAAGGTTTTGACAAAAGCACGTAGTGGCTACAATGTTGAGTTTCTGACCCCCACAGTGCATAAAGTATTTCTGTGTTTTACTTATTTTGTTTCCCCATAAAAGAGGTTGAAGCAAGAAAAACCAAGTCCTTCCTCAATACTTGTTGGAATTCTGTCCTGTAATCTGTACACTACAAACAATACTGATTTTGCCCCAAGGAAAAATGGCAATTTGGATGGTGGAAAATAGATCAATTTTCTGGCACTTTTTTTACAAGATGCCTCAGGAGTAAAAAATTAGGCTAAAATGAGCTATTTTAGCCAAAAAATAAAAATGTCTCAAATGAGCTAAAAAATCATTTTGGAATGTTTGATGAATTTCTATCTCTGGGCTAAAATAGCTCAGTTTAGCCTAATTTCTACTCCTGAGGCATTTTGGAAAAAAGTTCCAGAAAATTGATCCATTTTCCCCCACCCAAACACTTTCAACACTACCTCATATCCAGTACTGGATATGGAGTAAAAAAACTGAATATTCAGTGTTTTTTTTTAAAAAAAAATGGTGTGAAGAGGTGAACAAAAAAATATAAAAATACTACATATCCAGGTTTATTTTACTGCACATCCAGTGTGGGATATGAAGTTATGTTTCAAGTGAAATTGCCATTTATTTTTGGGGCAAAATGGATATTGCTTGTAGTGGTATCTGGGGGAGAAGATAACATAATCTATTGCATTACGTCACTCAGGCACCCAAATGGGTGACATAACTTCCCCTCATTGATTTTGTGGCTATTAGGATGAAATGTTTCCCATCAAACATTTTTTATGTGTATGAAAGCTAGTGAAGAATCCAAGAAATGGCTGTCTTGAGGTTTGGATTTGGAGACAATGATGAAATTTGTGATTGCAGAAGCCCACCAGAATAAAACAAAGATGTCAGCAATTCAGAAAATAAAATCCCTTTCATTTCACTTCAGGAGGGATTGTATTGGTTACAACCCCCCATGGTAAAGTCAAATGGAGGCAACCAATATAAAATTGGCCTCCCTTACCAATTTTATATATTTGGCTGGGCCCACTGACACATTTCAACAAAGGGGGTCACCAGTTGATTTTTGTGTGGGACTTTTGACTACCTGTCAGCCTTAGAGCCAGCCAAGCTGGCCAAAAGACTGCTTAAGTCCTCCGTTTTCACTCAAGTCCCTACTATAACTTTTTAATCTTAATCTTTTATTACTTTCTGACTTCAGAAATGAATTGCTCTGTTAATTTTAACCCTAGTCACCACTACACACTTTTGCACTACTCTTCTCCTTCATAGACTTTGTAATATTTCACAATACCTTGTGAAATATCAACCAAGTTGGAATTCCAACTCTCTACCACATGTACATGTTGTGATTATGTAATCCAACTCTGAAAATTTTCTCAGTAGACACTGAGTTCGCATTTTCAGGATCTTCAAGGTTCAGACCCACCCAGAACCAACTCAGACCAGAAAACCAGCATACCTCAACTTGGATTCACCGCCGTATCATCGCCGTGTTATCGTTTGGAGTCCTTTACTCTTTGGAATCTTCCCACTCTCAGTGTCAGGATCACCAAATAGTAAGTCATTCCGTCAAGTAAAGCTTGCATCTTTCTGCTAAGTTTCTTCTCTGTCTCTCTGAAGGAACCCTTCATTCTGTTTCTACTAAATACCTACCTCCATCATCATCACATCAATCCAAGTCTTCTTTAAGTCATCATTATTCTTTGTTTGGTGGTATAACTGAAAACCACATAGGTTTCCCTTTAAAGAACCTTGATCTTTGATCTAAAAAATAGTGGTTGGATTGACATATCAATACCAATAGCCCTTCTCAGTTTCATTTGATTAGGAGGCGTAGATTTATTCCGCTAAAATAACAGCTATCCTCTTAAGGAAAGTAAGACTGCATTAAGACTTGACTTTAAAATAAATAAACAATAAAAATATTATTCATTTCTTTTCTCTTTCTCTTTCTCTTTCCTTTTCCTCTCCTTCTAGTTGTATTTCCTTATCCCTCAGAAATACATCTAGTTTTGCCCCCCCATCCTTGTGTCCTGCCGTCACTTTTGAGACCCAGGCTCACACTACCTCCAGGGGGGGATAAAGAAAAGAGACAGAGAGTGCATTGGCAGGTTGGTTCAAACTTAACATCCCTTGGCCTGGATGCAGGACTCCAATCAAGAGGCTAATTAGTTGAATTTGGGTTGGTTAATTGGTAGGCTATGGTTGTGAAGAAATTCTGAGTATGGAGAGGGAAAAGAGGAAGATGTTATCTGAAAGGTCTTGTTGAGGCACACCCTTTTTTAGAGAACCAATGATGATTTTTCCTTAGAAGAGACTAGGCATAGTCTACATACAAGAGGTTAAACACGTGGGTGAGGAAAAATTGAATATAAAAAATGAATAACATTTTAGGATATGCATGAAAAGATGACAGGAGCAAATAATTATTGATAAAGACTAGACCCAGGTTCAAAGAATACAGGGATTTCAGCACTAGACAATAAGAAAAGCTGCCACTCAGACACTTACAAAACATAGTAATGTTGAGTATATTATTTTATGCAAACATGTTAATTGAAAGGTGAGTCAGTAGGTTTTTTCAGGAATGAGAAGAATAAAGGGCATAATTTCAACAGGTTGTTGGCACTCAAAATCACTCAAATCAAACAGGCATGCAAACTCAAGTTCTGCTTTTGATAGCATGAAATACTTGCTGGCGGAACATTTCCAAATCAGAGGTTTTTGGCTGAGGGGGAAGGCCACTTTTGATCACTTTCCTATTAAACTTGGTAGCGGATTTTGACTTCACTCTTCTACATTCTTACCATTTGAGGATCCTTAGAGGGCAGGCTACCTCCAGATTTCTTTTTTTCATATTTACTCCATCCCCTTTCAAGCAAATTAGAAACTTAAGAGTCTCACTTTTGCAGGTGTTCCATACATATGGAAAAGACTGGTAGAGCTGACCATTTTTAACCTCAGATCCTGACATTCTGGGAGGGAGCTGTGATGACAAAGTAATACCAGAAGAAAGGTGAGATTCAGCTGGATCTTTGGTACACATTTTGAGGTTGATTCTGTGGTAGCTTATGAGTAAAAGCAAAATTTGTAAAAAAAGTGAAGGAATGACCTTTATCTCCTTCTAAAAAGTACAATGCACATAAGGCGCGCTGGAGAGGGCCCAAATGTCAGCCACAGAGTACATGTCACAGTACCTTTCATGTACCAAGTAACTGCAACACCTGTACTTATTTACATAAGTACATATCCATAATGTTGTTTACCATTACCTCTTGTTATCTTATCATTATTATTAACTTATCTTATTTATATTAAATTTAGGGCCTTAACAAAAAAACTTGGGTTTTCCGCGTTTTGACGCGGTTTTGCTGCAGCACAGCGCATGCGGTTTCCGCGTTTAAACACGGTTTTGTATACATTTTTTTACCGCTTATTTTTTGAGTTTTTTTGAATTTTTAAAGTTGTTTCCTACACTTTAAAAGGTGTAGAATTTAATGGTAAAAACCACTTTGCATAAAAATGAATTTTAATTATTAATTATTTTTTTCACTCATTTCTCCATTAATTGTTTGCATACATGTTTGTATCTTATTTTTTATGTTTTTTGAAATTTGAAATTTATTTCCTAGGCTTCAATGTGCCTAGAATTTAGATGTACCTTGCCGATCGTAAGGGTTTCCTTCTGGTCAACGAGGTAGATGTACCTCGCTGATCGGAAGGGTTTCCTTCCGGTCAACGAGGTAGATGTACCTCGCTGATCGGAAGGGTTTCCTTCCGGTCAACGAGGTAGATGTACCTCTCCGATCGGTGATTGGAAGGGTTTCCTTCCGGTCAACAAGGTACATGTATCCATCAACTGGAAGGAAACCCTTCCAATTGATGAGGTACATCTACCTCATCGACCGGAAGGAAACCCTTCCGGTCAACCTGGCCGAGATGCTGGGGTTCCCCCCAGCCTCAAGGCCATTTTTTTTGTTTTTCTTTTTTTTTCTTACTTTTTTTGTTTTTTGTTTTTGTTTTTTTATGGGCCTTTATAAAAAAACACGGTTTTTCCGCGTTTTGACACGGTTTTGATGCGCCGCAGCACACGCGGTTTCCGCTTTTAGACGCGGTTTTTTAATTAATTTTTTACTGCTTATTTTTTGAGTTTTTTTGAATTTTTAAAGTTGTTTCCTACACTATAAAAGGCGTAGAATTTAATGGTAAAAACCA